TAACTGGAAAGTAACTCTAGACGTAAGCATAAAAGCGGTGACATGTTACTACTATGCCATACAGCGACGGATGCTAATTATCCACGTGGAGGTGTGGCTTTCAAGGCAAGAAAAGTTTATACTATATCGCATTTACAGTAAGGCAAACTTAAATTTTGCCATTACAATGGTCAACGTTAGTAACCTTAAACACCATAAGTAGATATTCAATAAGGCCCATAATCCTAAAGACCGTGAATATGAGTTATGTAAATGATTATAAATAGTTGAATTTATTCTATAGCTAACGCTAAATAATTGTAACGAATGTAGGAAAATTCTTTACAGTATTCGCTCCTTAGGATTTTAATAAGAGTTGCCAGGTTTTTTGGCGAATAAATCTGGAGGCTAAACTAAGTATGTAGGAGAATACGAAATAGTATAACGAAGAATAAATGCATACAATTTTGCGGAGAGTTTAAGTGACGTGGAGAGGAGTTGTACGCGGTAGAAATTGGTTGCCTGATCTGTCCAACTTGCTGATGGTGGTGTTGATGCTGTTGAAATTGGGACTGCTGGGGATGATGACTCGTGTGAATGCCTGCATGGTAGTGATGGCTGTTATGATAAATATTACGCTGCTCTGTCAGTCCCAAATGGTAAGCAGCGGCTGGATGCAAATTGCGTCTCAACATCTGTCGTTGCACCTGTTCCAATCTACGCAGCATGTCACGCTGTTGCTGCTGCTGCTGATGGTGATGATGGTGACCAATATGTTGATGGTTAAGATGGTGACTATGATGCCCGCTGTGGCTGTGACCATGATGTCCGCCATGGTGTAAGGATCCTGGCGTAGGCTGTGACGGAGGGGGCTGGGGGGGGGGCGGAGCCGTATAGTGGTTATGTCCACCATGTGAATGCGAGGCATGGCTATGCAGCCTCCAAGCTGCAGCAGAGGGAGCCATTACACTGGCTGCCATACTGGGAGCAAGCCAATGCGCCATGGCCGCCGCAGCTGCGGCACCCATGGTAGCAGTGGTCAGCGCTGCTGCTGCCTCCATATCATCCAGGTGGTCGAGTGGGCTGATAGGGCCTCCTAATTGAGGTGATACACTGGCCCCGCCATTTACTGGGGCCACTGAGGGTCCAGCTGCAATTGCCGCCAGACCCGGGTGCCCAGCAGCCCCACTAGCTACTAGCAAGCCCGCGGTAGTGGCCATCAGAGCACTAGCCATAGCGGGTGAGGCGGCTGCAGCAGCAGCAGCAGCCGCAGCTCTGGGTGTCATCAAGGCGACGGACTCCGCGGCCATTAACTGTCGAAGATCAGTGCGCAGCTTCGCCGGACTGAATAGCCCTAGATCGTATCCTAGGCAAGATAGCACGGTAATTTTTCATTCGAATTATACTGCAACCAATAATATTGATGTAACATTACCATATAGTGGGCTTAGGAAGATAGAGGAGGCTAATTCGAATAGGCTTAATGTTTTTATCAGCAGGATAAGCAAGCAAAATCAAAAATATTGTGACTCATGAAGTATAGGCTATAGTGGCTCTCCGATTCGTTTTCAGGCAATAGTCTATTCTGAATCACCTTTAATATCTTGCATACATTTCCCACACTTCCCTTTTCAGCAGACATCAGAGTGTTAAGAGGTGATTTAATGACTGCTTTAAATGACTACCAGATTTTCCTCACAAGGCTATAGTGCAATATCGTCTTCCTCTTTAGCGGAAATTTAGATTTGATAGCGTTCCCAAGCGCATATTCCATGTGTATCCCTCTCATAATCCTCTACACTTGAGGAATTCTATTTATTCATATTCATTGCACTTTCAACGTATCTCAT